TATTCCGTGATTCTGTGTAATCGGTGACTTGTTAAATCCCTGAGGAGGCTTATTCCTATACCAGAGTGAAGGGTAAATCTACATTACAAGAATAAACCCAAAGCTATGCAGAAATGTGGGGTCAGTGACTCACCCAAGTCACACAGGAAATCGGCGGCAGAGAAGGCGCTCTCCGCACCCTTAGGAAAAGGAAGAGAATTAAAACTGAGTTTCCGAGCATCTTTTGGGTCACATCTGCCCTGGCTAGGAGGTGTTCAGCGCCTGTCAGTGGGAACAGCAGCTCGGCACAGAAGAGAAAGGGTGGAGCTGGGATCCAGGCGCTCGTGGGCAGGACAAGCTGACGAGCCCAAGGCAGCGATTAGGAGCCACAAACAATATCTGCGACTCCTCCAGCCTCTGGAAACGATGCGTAAAATCCCACTGGTGGAAAACTTGTTCCTTCTACCTGGGCAGCTGCCGGCGGGCTCCTCGGTTTAATTTTGCATCCGGCGTGTGAAGCAGGAGGAGAGACTTGCCACAGTCCCACCCCCGGCCGGACTCTGCCCTCCCCTGCCCGGCTGTGCTGCCGCTGTCCCGCTCCCGGCGCTCGCTCCTTGGAGCCCCGTGGGACAGCGCCGGAGCTCCTGGATGAGCAGGGATCCCTGCGGGGGTGGCACGGCCCCCCAGCCCTCCCCGAGCCCCACGCTGGATCATGCAGTGCATCCGGAGGCAGCCCAAGCGCACCGTGTCCCAGGAGAACATCCTGCTGGAGCAGAGCCGTAGAGTGGCCGCGTTGAATGGCATCAGGCTGGGTAAGGGACGGCTTTGGGCACACCCGGCAGCGCTGCCTTTCTCTTTTCCCCGCGCAGAGGCAGCGCTCCACCCTAAGGACCGGGCTTACTTTGAAATTCCCAAGGTTTCCTTTGCTTTCGTTTGCCTGTAACCACGCGCCAGATGTGTGAACAGCTTCGTTGGAGGCATCAAAGAATGTGGGCAAAGGCTCGGTTCCCAAATCTCTTGCTGGGCTTTCTGAACTGCCTCTGATTGAGGGTTTTTGAAGGGGCAGTGCCCTTCTCCTGCCCAGTTTTAGCCCCGCTCGGTGGTGTGTTGCCTGTTGCTGTAAGAGCCCAGGGAAGCAGGCAGAGGCTGCCGATGAAAGAGGAAACCCAGGGAGTTTCATAACTTGTGTGCCTGGCTCTGAACTCACTGCTGGTTCCAGCTCCCTGGAGGCACAGCCCCAGTGGATGCCAGTGGGACACGCAGGGTGCTTGGAAGTGGGAAATAGCCATTTACTCACTCGTGTTCCTTTATCAGAAGGGCTTTCTGCCTTTTTCAACCAGGAAACCTGAGTTAAACCTGGTCTTTAAGCAGGTGGGAGGGGGAAAGTGGGCAGGAGGAGACTTGTTTTATAGTGACTGTAATTGAGTTCTGTCAGATCAGCAGATTTGTGAGAACAGTGCAACAATACAGATTATTGCTGTCATCCTAACCAGCTCCTCAGTGAACTCAAAGCCCCTCTCCTGCCATGACAGCTATTGTTTTATTGGGCTTCCTGCTTGCTGTAAACCTGAGCTAGATAAGCCAAAGGTTAACATTTCTGATGTCTCAGTGTGTGAAACTTCCTAGTGGGGTGCATTAACACGATGGTTATTGTGGTGCTGTGTGTGCTCAAGGCACTCCTACCTTGGCCAAACATGATTTTCACTCTGAACATCACTGTGTACTCAATATATTCTGCTCAGAAAGTGTGTGATTGATGTTTTGCAAGTAGGAGTGTCCTGACCCTTGAAAGGCACTCTGGAATTTTGTATGCTAAGTGTGTATTTGGTATTTTACAGAGGATGCTAAGCAAGACACAGTCTTGCCACATGCTTCAGGCAGGATTTGCACATCTATTTGAGTGCAGTGCTTCAGATTGTGCTTCTCATGCTAAATGTTGTTATAGAGTTGGGAGTCAATATCCTTGTCCTGCTGCACAGCATTTTTTAACTTTTACATGATGTATGTGTACAGTGATTCTTGTTTCTCAGATGTGTGTTTTCATTGTGGTGAGATGGAGCTTGGGATCACAAACCTCCTCAGCTTCAGGCTTTGAGCAGTCTG